ACTTGCAGGCATCTAACTTTTCTAGGTGTTTTTTAACTTGTTCTTTTTTTATTTTACCTTCTAAAACTACCCCCTTCCCACTAGCATTCACTATGTTAGGCATTCCTACAGACTTCTCGGTGAAGACCGAAACAAAGAAGTCATTGAGCATCTCTGCCATTTCCAAGTTTCCTGTTACTATTTCTCCCTCCTCACTGACCAGTGGGCCTACCCTCTCCTTGGTCTTCCTCTTGCTTCTAATGTATTTATAAAAAATCTTGTTTCCCTTTATTCCCATAGCTAGTTTGAGCTCATTCTGTGCCTTTGCCTTTCTGATCTTGCCCCTGCATTCCCGTGTTGCTTGCCTATATTCCTTCTTTGTAATTTGTCCTACTTTCCATTTTTTATATGACTCCTTTTTTATTTTTAGATCATGCAAGATCTCGTGGTTAAGCCAATGTGGTCTTTTGCCGTATTTTCTATCTTTCCAACACATGGGAATAGCTTGCTTTTGGGCCCTTAACAATGTCCCTCTGAAAAACTTTTCATGGGCGGACATTATTATGGGGAGCGTATATTCATTTCAGATAACAAACTTCCCAACATGTACAGTAATACTGTGCCTAGCATACACGCATCGGCTCACACACCTAAATACAGCTGAGGATCTGGGCCTGTGGTCCCAGCAGCTTGGGGGCTAGCTGATCCCTTCTAGCCCCAAGTACAGGCCAGTGAAGGGAAGTTCCAACCCACAAGGAGCCCCGGGAAGTAAGTGTGTCTTTAAGAGGTACAGTTCCTTTCTGCCCGTCCTCTCCCACCACTTGCTCCCAAGGGACTGCAGTCTGCCACTGGCCCTTAGATATGTGCAACTGATTTACTCTCTGCTGACTAATGCATTACGTAGCACTCAGTCCAGCTGTAATGCCGACAGGTGGAACCGAACGTGGGACCTCTAGAGCTTAGTGCATGAGCCAAAAGCCAGCTGGCTCTCAGCTAAGGCTGTAGAGCAAAGTCATTTGCCCTCTCTCTGTAAGTGGTTTAAGTACAACTACAAAGGACAGTGAACCACCCCAGTAGGTGTGTGGGTTACACAGGCACGTACAGTTATGATTTGTTGTTTATTAATTCTTTGTTCTATTGTGGCACCGGCGTGCAAGGTGCTGTACAAGTACAGGATAAAAAAACACTCCGGCGCCAAGGAATATAAGTTAAATATAATGTTTAGCCAGGTAACTGATTTTACATCCCTAGTATTAGTTTGGAATTTGCTGCCTTTTCAGTTTATTAAATGAATCAACCGCCATGTTCTACCTGCTCATACCCACAGACCAGCTTCTGGAAAATGGCCTCTTAATTTCAGGAGCCTGATTACTGGGAGCCCAAGTAAATAAAGGGCCTGATTGGTTACCCTCTGGCTATGTCTAGACTACATGTCTCTGCTGACAGAGGCATATAAAATAGGCTTCCCGACACAGTCAATGAAGCGGGGATTTAAATATCCCCGGCCTCATTAAAATAAAGATGGCCGCCGCACTGTGCCGGCACAGCGCGCGAGTCAAGATGCAGATCAGTCGACAGGGGAAGTCTTTGTCAACTGCTCCTGTAAACCTGGTTTCACGAGGCATAAGGGAGCGGTCAACAAAGGCTTCCCCTGTCGACTGATCCGCGTCTTGACTCATGCGCTGTGCTGAGGATCAACTGAGCCGGCACAGCGCGGCAGCCATTTTTATTTTAATGAAGCCAGGGATATTTAAATCCCTGCTTCATTGACTATGTCGGCAGAGGTGTGCAGTCTAGACATACCCTCTGTTCCTACAAGCATTGTTGAAGCTTGTGGGTGCTGAACACCACATTGGCCCCAAGAATTAGAAGACCAGACTGGGTGTTTGACTGAAGCCACATTGCGTTGGAGGTGGAGAAACAGTATAACATATTCTGGGTTGATGCATTAGTTCAGGGGTGGGCAAGACAGCCTATGCAGGCCAAATGCTGCCCTCCACGCTGGTTGATCCAGCCCACGGCCACCGTACCACTCCCCTGCCGTCAGGCCAATTGAGACCTGGGAATGGGGGAGTGCATGAAGTATCCTCCACCTGTCCGGGGTGTGCGGCACCAGAGAACCACCAGCTGTTTTGAATAGTTGGTGCTGTGAACTCTTTGCAAGGTGGAGGCTGGGGCAAAGATTTCATGCACTCTGCCCCCAGGCCTGGGGGCAGGGTGAGCATGTGCCTAGAGAGAACTGCCAGCTGTTCAAAACAGCTGGTGGTTCTCTCTAGGAGACGGGGGCAAAGACTTCACACACTCCTCCAGGTAAATGTGTGTCTGTGGGTGGGGGAGCATGGGAAGTCTCCTGGTGCTGCTCTTTCTGGGGCAGCTTGGGACCACCTCAGAAATTTGCAAAGTGGCCCCTCTTTCAGAAATTATTGCCCCCTCCCCCCCGCATTAGTCAGTAGTTGCTGCTGAGATCCTGTGTAGATCTGATTTTTCTGGCTCACAGGCAAGTTACCCAGCAAGAAGGATTGAGTGCAGCAAAAAGGATAGGGAACCAAGATTGAAATTAAATTAAAATCTCTCTCTGTTCATGGTTGTGTTTTTCTGGACAAGCTTTGCTGACCAGAGAGGTTTAATGCATGCAGACCAGACAGTTCACTCCAGTAGGAAGTGGGTCCAGAGTCTCAAATGCCGGGCACGAGCCAGAGAGCTTCTCACTGAGAGAAGAAACTGCCATTCTCTTTGCGGGAGTATCCGCTATTGGTGGCAGCCGTGTGGGGACACTCTAGAGAGGGAGAAAGTCGTGATTAGTGCCAAGTGCGGAAGGTGGCATCAGGCTGGAGTGAATGCAGACTGTGATTCCAGTCATTATCCTACTTCACGCTTGTCTAGGATGTGGGGGCAACATTACTCTCATGATACAGATAGAGAAGCTGAGGCAGGTATGTGCCATAATTCACTCCAGGTCCCACATCTGTGGGCCTCATTGATTGGCTCCTGCCAATAAGTGATGGCAGCTACTGATTCATGTGAAACAGTTCCTGTCAGATGGCTATGATAAGATGTGCCCAAGCATCCCCAAACTACAGCTACCTGGAGATGGGACCCCTGTATGGCCGTGATGGTAGCTGAGTGTCTTGTCTCCACAGTGCTCTGCACTAAGGGAGTACTTCTTTTCTAACTGCCTCGCCACCCTCCCCGAATATCAACATTGTAGACACATTTTGAGACCAACTGGCTGATCTCCAATAAGATGGAGGCACAGGCAGCTACCTGGTGCTCTTACCAATGGCTCCCTCGATGCTATGGATCGATTCCTTTGTGGGGCTGACCCAGCATCTCACAGACAGACCCCTGGTTTTTTGGCACTCCAGTGGGGGTGGCTTGGGTTCCTCCACAGGCTCAAGACCCTTCAGTGTTCTGGAGTAGGCAGAAGGGGAGGGAGGAGTGTTAGAATTCCCAACTCTGCACTTTCCGGGGCAGAAACCAACTGTTTCTAGGTACATGTTCATCAGCTAGCATCACGTCATCTGTATTTTGGTTGTGCCCCCTTGTTGTACTGTAATACAAAGAAACATCTGGGTGGGTTTAGTGCATGTAATTAGGAAACACGGAGTCCTTGCAGCTATCCATGCTGCTGGGTCTGATTGCAGGACTGAACTTTCAAATGAGAAATACATGATCAGATCTTTCTTTTCCCAGAGGCAACAGTAGTATAAGGGGTCTACCATCCATCAAACATTAGTCCCGCCCCTGTCACCAGAAGACTCGCCCTTTGGGGTAGTATATCCAGTGTCAAGAGGGACATGTGACCTAAAGTAAAGAGTGTCATGTGACCCCTCTCAGGCCTCGCCCTACCACCCTCTACCAATCAGGAAGGGTTTTTCCCCTGTAGGGCCGCCCCCTGAACTTCTCTGACCAAACGGGGCAGTTCCGGGACCGATTGACCCACCCAGAAGTGGGTCATGTGACCCCTCTAAGATCTTCTCCTGCCAGCCTCTACCAATCAGAGCATAGCACTTCCCCAAAAGTTCTAGAACCACACAAAAGAGGCCATCTTGTTCCAAGAGCATGAATTTCAGAAATCGTGCAAATGCTGAGCGGAAACATGGACTCCTTCACCACCCCCACCAGAAGTTTGGACTTTGCTTTGGTGCTGAGGGCCTTCCACTATGAGGAGAAAGCGCCACATCAGCAACAGTTCCGAGGACAAGGGAGAAGTGAAAAAGGGCCCTTTGCCCCCATTGCTATTGGATACACCAGAATCTGACCCCCAAACCCAACCGTTCAGGGGGCAGCCTGAAGAACTAAACAGCCTCTCGTTATCCGTCCCTATGGAGGAAGCTGCCTGGAGAAAGAGAGAAATGGGGGATGGTGGCTTTTACATCACTTTGCCCAGCAATGCCAGCTCTGGGTTTTTTCCCCAAAACACCAGCTTGGACTTTCCAATATAGCTAATAAAGTCACCATCCTCCATTTCTCTCTTTCTCCCCTTGCAGGTGGGATTGTTTTCATTCACACTTAAATGTTACAGAGTTGAGAAGCTTCTACCCAACTGTTAAATTTGTTGGGCCACCTCAGCCATGTCATTAATAGCTGCTTTTCACTCCCTTTCCCTTTCTCTGCTAGAACGTTTTCAATCCTGTAAATCCTGTCCTGTTTGGTGCTCACTTTTTGTAATTCTTCAGGGTAAAATGACCCCGTCACTGTCTCACCCGCGTACTCTCTTAAGACTCTCTTAGACGGGTCTCTCACCCCTGGTGAAGGCTTCCTCCACTATGAACCTCTCATCGGTAAACGTTTGTTCATAACCTTTTTTAAAAGCACTTTTGGTTTTAGAGAGTCTCACGTGGTCCCCTTTTCTAAAAGGGCCTACAGGCTGTTTTATTTTAAAATCATCTCCATAAACAATTTTCCAGACCCTCAGAGAATTTGCGGGGTTCTCATCCGCAGGTCTGGTACGTATAGTTCTGTGAAAGCTCCAGTGTAACTCTTTATAAACTCTGGCAACACATCAATGTAGCGAAAGGTATTGTGGGCTGTAAAATATCTCCACATCCTAGATTTTAAAGTTCTGTTAAATTGCTCCATAACCCCCACTTTGTTTTTCCCAACTCCAAGTAAAACAGAGGTTGGGACAGGGGAGAGTTTTACCTTAGGGAGGAGGTCTCCCAAGTGATCTCTTCCCTGGTTTTCTTGGAATTACTTGGGTGGTGGCAGCAGATTTCCCAAAATCTAGGTATTAGGATTTGGGGGGGAAGTTTTTTGTACCAGAGCCTGAGTGTAGAGGCAAGGTTTTGGAGTGCTCCTGCGGGCCCCCACTTCTGCATTCATCATACCAGAGTGGGGAACAGCCTTGGCAACTCCCATGACCTTCAAATGGACAAACCTGATATGTTTACTATTTAGAGCAGTTCTTCTGTCCTGGGAGTCCTGCATTTCTGGGGTCTAGGCTGCAAACCCATCTTTATAGCACTGTACTCATAGTAACTAGCATCAGCATATGGACTCTGAAGCCCCCTGCTGGTGCATTCAGCTCTGTGAATATGGACCCTGCCTAAGGAGGTAGCAGTGTGCGGTGGGCATGTGGGAGCCAACCTACTCTTACTTGCTGAGGCAGCTGTTCCGGTGTGGTCCCACATTTTCAGGTGCCTGCTGTGTATGCCTACAGGTGGCCCTGCTGCTGAGGTAAAATCATTTCAAGAGCTGCTTCTAGGAAGGAGCTTTCCTTCCTCATAATGGCCCTGCAACATCACTGAACCTATGCTTAGACCTCCTCCATGCACAAGCCAAGAGACCAGAATCTTCTGCAATATGTAGGCTGCATGCCAGCCCCACACTGGAGCTAAGCCCACCCACTGGAGGAGGCCACACACCCATGGCCCTGCTGGGAATGCTCTGACTGGAACCCAGGTATAAAAGGGAGCAACTCAGTTGATTTGGGGATGAATGCTGACACAGGAGGATGCAGGTTACTGGCTCCAGTCTAGATGCTCACAAATCTTCAGACTGCAGATGTGATGGAAGATGCCCAGTTGGAGCTGCTCATGCGGAGGAGCCTGGGGATGCCTGGATGCTCCCATAAGTAGATGCAGTCAGAAGAGGCAGGTGAGGAGTGCAGTGGGGAGTGATCTATTAGGCTAAATGCTGCCAGCATGTGGTGGGATCCCCCTGACTCAGTGGTGGAAAGTTCTGATACTGTTAGGGCCTTAGACTGGAACCTGGTGGAGTAGGGTGGGCTTGAGTTCCCCCATACTAGCTGTTGCCAGCCCCACTCTTGAGGTGGCAGCCTCCCCATCTTGGGCCAAGAGACTGGTGTTTGTCTGCCAGAACCAGGCAATCAGACCCTAGAGCTGTGGTGTCCAACATGCTAGCCACTGGCCACATCTGGCTAGTTGGCTTGAACAATCTAGCTATTTGGCTGGTTGAGCGTAGCTACTGCTTCAGAACAGCTTGGATACCATGGCCCAAGACTGTTTGGTACTCTGCCGTAGCAGATGGCAGTCAGACTGACTTTGACCATTAGGTCACGCTTCCCTATGGCTAAGGAAGACTGAAAAGACTTGGCCCCAGGACTGCAGTATCTCTTGCCCTGCCCCCAAAAGAAATGGGCCCACCAGCTGCATGACAAAGCTAACCAGCCATTGCTACTGGTGCCCTTGCAGCTGTGGGCAGACTGGGGCACTCACTATTACCAATAAGATCCTCCAGAGGCAGCTGTGTCCTGCCTGAGATTGGGGAAAGGCCACTTGCTCCTGCTCACCCATGGTCATCAAAGAGGGTCTCCTTGTGGATGACTATTTGGTTCTTGTCTTGGAGCAGCTCCTTGTGGTGGTTGTAGAGTGAGGTGAGCTTAAAATCCAGGCTGTCTCTGGGAACCTGCAGAAGGATTTAATGAGAGTCACTAGCCAGTGCCTCTTACAACCCTGGCAAAGGGACCCTCTGTGCTGTGTTGGCTTCCTGAGGCAGGGGACAAACTAATCTCTGCTGTGGCCCCACTGTGGGGCTTTACACACGACTCTGTCTCAGTTGCTCTACTAGTTAGAGCAGGGGTCCGGGAGTCAGGACTCTCAGCTGGGCTCCAGATATGGGGAGGGAACAGACTTAGACATGGCAGTGAGCTCTGGAAATGCTTACGTCCTAATGTGACCCTAAGCAAGTAGTTTTGCTTTTCTGTGTCTTGTCCCTATCTGTAGTACAGATATAACATAAGCAAGGAGATCAGTGTATGGGCTCACTAGCTCTAGCCAATCTGGGGACCCTCGGTAAGAGTGCCACAATGTTGGTGGAAGTATGTATGGGGAAGAACATGAGCCCATATGCTTCTCTCCTCCTTCCTTGCACCACAGCCCTGCCCCCTGCTCAGGCTGGAAGCTGGAACTAGACTGGTAAGAGCCAACCATAAAGTTCAGGCTGCTATTGGGAGCCTCAGACCCCAGGGCAGAAGGCCAGGTTACCAGCCAGCAGAACCCTGGCCCATATCCCTGCCTCCTCAGCCAGGGTTGGGGCCATAGAAAGAGGCTGGGCCTTCTGTTGGCAGAGGGACTAAGACTCCTCTCAGAGCACCCCCCCCTGCACTGAAAAGAGGCTGGTGCTGCCAGCAGACATTTTGCAAGGGGGATCTGATCCACTTATTGGCTCCTGCACCGTGAAGCACTGCCCCTGCTGGCAGGTACCACTTTTGGCCTGCCTGAGGATTGCACTCTGGGGGGCAATGTGGTCCTCAAAGAACACCATGTTAAAAAGTGAGCAGCCATGGGTTTTTAATGGAGTGCTCTTTGTGCTCAAGGTCCCAGTAAATCTTAATGCACCTCTGCACAAGGGCTGGAGGATTGTGAGGTGACATTCATGTTTGTAAAGTGCTTGGTAGGCCTGTGACCTAAAACTCTAGAGAGCTGCAAAGTGTTCTTGTTCAGAGTTGTCCAGGCTGCTGCACTGCGGGGGTGTTATGCACTTCTTCCCTGCTGCTTGGGGTGAGGATGGCACACTTTCATGGCTTGGGATGCTCCCAGACAGAAATCAGTCCAGTGGAGCACAGACAAGAATCCAGTATGGTGGCTGGTGAAAGGCCTTACTATACCCTTGGTGCAGTCATTGCGGCTGCCCAGCTGAGGCAAGCAGATGCTGCTGCACTGGGGGAACTTTTATCTACTAATCCTGTGACCATTTCAGGCTGTGCCCTTCCACTGAGGGAGCAGCAAGAGGGAGGGTGGGAACCTGGGAATCTGTACCTCAGGTTCCATATACCAGACTTCCTTCCTGGTGCTGGACAGCGTAGGTGTTCTGTGCAGGCGATTCCAAGGGTCCCGTTGCTGGACTAGATGGATGGGCTCAGCATAAGGGCTTACCTGGAACAAAGAACAGACAGCCACTCATGCCCGGATAAGAGACAGCCTGAAGGTAGGGAGGGTGCTTGAGTGGCCGAGGGGTTATGGTATTGGCTTTGGGACCCCAGGGTTGTTCATTTGAGACTTACCCACCCAGGGAGTGGCTGCCCCATTAGGAAGGCTGGATAATGGGCACCCTGAGTGTAGGAAGGTGCAGGGTGGGTTCTGGAGTGGCTTAGGGCATTGTCTTGGGGACCCCAGGGTTATATGATTGAGCCCCACCCACCTGGAAACATCATGAGGGTCTCTATTGGATGCCTTGTTGTCTATAGCAAAGGATCATCCTTTGGACATATGCACTGCTCCCTAGTCCAATGTGCATGTACATGATTCTGTATGTAGGGCCAAATTAGCCTTCTGTCCCCAGACCAATACAAGAGGGCATAATTATCAGCAGGCACTTGGGACACCAAGGGGTCACCTATCTCCCCTCACATGCCTGCAGGATTTTTCAGAAAGTCATTTTCTAGACCAGTCATCCTAGTACAGTAATGGTGGATTATGTCTCTGGCATCTCTGCTCTCCCCAGGAGTGCTTGGGCTGTTAGGATCCATAACTTCCTGGGGACAGCAACAAACTTGTGTTTGTGCAGCCCCTGAAGCTATAGGGTCCATCTTGCTCTGTGAGGGGAGGCTATGAACAATTGACAGGAGAAGCCACTGCCCAGCAGAGCCAACAGGTAACTCCTGGCTTTTTCCCAGAGCCCTTTCCCCAGTGACTACTTGAAGCAAAACTCTGACAGTTAAATCCCACAATAAACTCCCTGCTGCTTTCTGCCTACTCAGGTTCCTTGCTTCTCTGCTAGTGAAGATCTGACCTCACTCCATTTGTTTACAGAGCTGTGGGACTCAAGTGTTTGCTCATTTTTAGCACAGGGTCTAGAGATCTAGCTATGGAAGCCAGGCCTAGACTAGCAAACTGCTTGGAAACTCAGCTCCGAGCCCGCCGTGAATTCTGTGCACTTGGACTGCAGCTGAACTTAGCCCTCCCCCCTCCCCCCCGCCCATTTCTACCAGTTAAGAGCATGGCTGAGCTGGATTGAAACGTTGAACAGTTGATTCAAAGGGACCCTGCTGTCTTGCAAGCCGCGCGTTTCTATCTGAAGGTAGGGCGGGTGCTTGAGTGGCCCAGGGGTTATGGTCTTGGCCTCGGGACCCCAGGGTGGCCCCCCACCGGACTACTTTTGCAGGGAGGTGGGCAAGCCTCGAGTCAAAAGCTGCTCCAGGCGCCGCCTCTCCCTCGCCCCGGCCGGTTTGTTGCTTTGTGAAAAATTCAGGCAAGCGGGGGAAACTGAGGCCAGAACTTTCACAAAGTGACACTGACGTCTGGCTCTGCTCTGCCCCCCCCCCCGCGCGGCGGCGGCTGCCGCGTTTCCCGCCCCGAGGTGACTCTGCCAGGAGCGGAGCTGGGCGGGGACGGTGGAGCGGCCGGCGCTGCCCGCACCTGGCTCCGCCTGGCTCGGCCGGTGAAGGTGTCCTCGTTCTCACAGCGGGGGGAAGGGAAGGGGTCCCGGGTAGGCGGCATCCTGCGGCCGGGCGGCAGCACCTGCACAGCAGAGCCAGCAGCGCGCGCCGCCGCCTGTTTGCAGACCCAGCCGCGGTTGCCAGGCAACGGTCGCGGGGATTCCAAGGCTGACGCTCTGGAGCTGAGGCTCCCTCTAGTGGCTAGAAGGAGCAGTGCAGCGGGGCAGCCTCCAGGGAAGGGGATGCGGCAGCCGCAGGAGCAAACAGGGGGCCACGCTGTGGCGGTAGGGACTGGGGAAAATGCATGGAAACGGCACTTGGCAAAGCCAAACACCAACATGCACAGGTGTGTAAAGAACTCCCGCCCCCAGCTTGCTGGATTGCTGAGATTTTGTCATGGGCAGCTGGAAGCTTGGGGGCTCCCAGGTGGCAGGGGTGCCTCATACAGCTCCCTGCCAAAGGTGATAGTGGGGAGGCCCTGCAGTTCTCACGGTGGTAGTCAGAGATCTCAGGGATTTCCTTCTTCAGCATAGCTGTCAAACTCCGTAGCCTTAACCACACGCACTTAGGGTCCTAGTTCCCCTAGTTGTAAAGATGCTAGGGGCTACCCCCAAGTCCGCGGACTCAGTAAAGTGCTGTTCTAATTGCAGAAAAGGTACTCCCGTGCTGTAACTGGCCCCCGGGAGTCGAGGGGTCAGATTTGCTGGCCACTGTGCTGCAGCAGAGGCAGAACAAAGGCTTTGGTACAGCACAAGGAGGGAGGTGAGCACGTGCAAAAAAAATGAATGCCGGCCTAAGCAGGAAGGTGCGTGAGCTACACGGCTAAGTTGCACGAAGACAAACAGGGCTGGGCAGGGGCCTCGCGCGCAGGAAAGCGCAGATTTGGTCCTGCGTCTTGCACCCCAGCGCGGTGCGCACGAGCCTCCCTGCCTTTGTGCGAGGGGCTGGCGCGCGGAGCTGCCCCTGCACGCGCAGCGGAGGCGCT